CCGAAAAACACAAAAAACTGGCAATGAAGGCCGAAAAAATCTCAAGGTTGACAAACCTAGAGCTCTGATACCATGTTTTGGAATGGTAGAATACTGAGAAAATAGAAAGAAGAAAAAATAGAAAGAAGAGAAAATAGAAAGTACAAAAATAGAAAGAAAGAAATAGAAAGAAAAAACTTTCTAAATCAATCCTTCCACAATCCTAGGAATATATACAATTCTATTTTCAGATCTGAACCAATAACCTCACATTTTCCAACAATAAGGCATCCAAGGAATGCATTCTAGGTATGCTATAGGAAAATGTTATTGCATATATTTGCTTGATATTTGATTTTTAAGTGGTATGCTTGTCTATAGGGGCCTAGTCAGGACCGATCCATTGTCTGGAAGGTGCAAGCTCAACTTAATGAGGTAAGATGTACACAATAATAATAATAATAATTTATTAGTTGATATGGCTAATGGACTGTTTGCATATGGGTTCCATTTAATCTACATTTCCATGTCAAGGTTATTGTTGAGAAATCTTCAAATTCTACCCCATTGCCTGAGGCCATATTGGAAATTCCATCATCAGCAGAACAACAAGAGTCGGTTAATTCTGCTCTGCAAAGCACTGCCCCAGATCCCTCATCTATTTCAGCTTTTATGAATCAAGTGGCAGACCTTGTCAAGTATGATTAACACTGCTATTTTAGTATTTTGTTATTTGCTCTTTTGTGTTCTTATTTCTATTCCTATTATGCTTGATTTATTATCTTTATACTAATCCTTATTCTTAGTGTTAGTGGCAATCTTGAACTGCTTTGTGAGTATACAACTATACACAGAAAATATGAACTAGTGTTTTCTCCAGAATTAATATTAACTTCTCTGGCAGGCTTGTGGATTCCCAAGATATTATGGAGCTTCAACTTAAGCAGCTAGATTGTGAGCTCATTATAAGGAAGAAAGAAGCTTTGCCGCGGCCGACAACTGAATCCCCTTTTGTTATGATGCAACCTCCTCTACCTCAAGTTATGCTTTCATCTCAATTTCCGCCAACCCAGGCTATGGCACCTGCCTCTGCAAGTTCTTCCTCATCTCCAGTTCAAGCCCTACCTTCACCTCCAAAGACAAGCAAGTCATCACATCCACCTCTGAAGTCTCCCATGGCAGGAACGTTTTATCAGTCTCCTGCACCTGGGGAACCACCATTTGTGAAGGTAACTTCATTCTTTGCATGTAAATGTGTATGGCTATATTATTTCTTTTGATTGATAATGAGCAAAAAGGAGTGTTGTTGATGAAAACAGAATATGGAAGAATAAATATGCCAGTTTGGTGCCCTTTCTATAGGGAAACCACCCCAAGAAGCTTCTGGAGCTTATAGAGAAAAGAAAAACTGCACTATAGATATATTAGCTTATACCAAGACAATGATATGTTTATGAAATCTATGTGGAAATCATCCAAACATGATGCATGCTTGCAAGCATTCATTTATGTATGAGCTCTATCCCTTAACACAATTGGTTCATAGATGGTTTATTTTTCAATTTAAGTGTCTACTTGCCTCTTCAGGTTGGAGATAAGGTCCAGAAAGGCCAGGTTGTTTGCATCATTGAAGCCATGAAACTGATGAATGAGATTGAAGTGAGTTCATTATGTACCCTTATTTAGTAAACATCTAGTCTTTATTTTTATTTTACTAAGCAACTATTAGTTTCCGGCTGTTGTCTTGGTAAAGAAGCATGGGTTTTGCCAACTTAGAAAGCTGACATCTTTAAGCCTTTTACTTTGCAATTATTTGAATTCGAGTCTTGCATGCATGAATGTGAAGCTAGGAAGAAAATGTTTGCAGGGCCAACCTGTAACAAATAAATATAGTTGGGGTGCAACTTTTGGTAAACATAATTGAAGAGCCAGCTTGTAATATACCAAGTTACAAGGTTTTGTGTGTGGTGGGGGTGGGGGGGGAAGGGTTGCCCTAGTTGGATCCTTCTCTGCATGCATGTGTGTATATGTGTCTATGTATACTACAAACTCGAGCTTAGATGGGGGCTTAAGTTCAAGTTGGTAACTGAATCATAATTCATCATAGCACAGCACTATAAAAAACCATTCTCTGCCTGTAGTACTTTTGAGTTCATGCACAATCGTATTATCTTTGTTCATGATACTAGTAGTTTTAATTTGCATATTTCTTTTTCCTTCAGGCTGATCAGTCAGGAACTGTAGTTGAGGTACTGGTTGAAAATGGGAAACCAGTTAGTTTGGACACGGTACTCTCTATCTATCTATCTATCTATCTATCTATCTATCTATCTATCTATATATATATATGTGTGTGTGTGTGTGTGTGTGTGTGTGGATTCTGTCATTTCTTTATCTTTCCTATTTTTAACATCTTTTTGTTCTTTCCAGCCATTGTTCGTCATTGAGCCATGAAGAAACCAAAGATTTGTGATTTCAAATTTGTGGGGTGAAGTAACTCTTCATTTTCTGAAATTTGGAGTAAAATGTATTTTCTTTTTCCAGTGTTTTTAGTTATAGTTCCCTCATATTGCATTTGCTATATATTAAAGGTCTTTCTTATTTGTCAAAAAAGTCTCCGTAATCGTTAGGGTTTATGAGTTGAAAAAGATATGTTAAATGCCTCTGAAATGTATAAAACTGCATCCAAGCAAAAAGTAGTTTGGGAATCATAGAAGCACTTTATTCATTCACAGGTACTAGAATATGTCAAGAGCGAAAACTGTAGTTACCTTCCTCACTCTCAGAATGTAGGTTGTAACTTGACCATTAACATAAGAACAGCTTTAGGGTTATGTTTTGCGTTGATCTAACAATTGAGTACCATACATTCATGGTATGCATTGAGAGCAATGATGTAAAGACCTTGTTTCCATTAGATCTGGACGGTAATAATTGGGGTAAAGGTTCAAATATCAGTATCACAACGAGTATCAGAAAGTCAATTTGGAATATATATCAGTATACACTTGGAAACACAGTTGTGGTCTAAGATTAGGATCTTGTGGATACATAGGGAAATCCATCAATAAAGCTTATATTGTAAGGCTCAAGTGACTACAAATAACCTATAAAAACATAACCATATTTTAATAGTTCATGTGAAATAATACATTGCATCAATCTATATTTGGTACCAATGTCGTTTCCCTGAGCTGATTTTTGAGAAAACAGTGTTGCATTGGTATGTTGTTTTTTTAAAACATATATATTCTCTTTTGGTTTGGGACCTTTGCTGTTGCTGCTACACAGTTGTTTTTTAATGTCACATCAGCATATTGTTGCTAGCAATAGTAAAAGAAATGAAAAAAAAACCAAAAAAGGATGTTTTCTCAGACCAGACATTTCCTGATTTCTAAGATGTTTGAGAAACATTTTTCAGAAAAACGTGTAACCAGACAGTAGGCTAGATTGAAAAATGGATTTTAGACATGATACCGATCCGATGTCCCATTTTTCAAGAAAATGGCATTGGTTCCAAAGACTGGCTACAAGTATCTGAACTCAGTTGGAAAACCACAAAATGTCGAAAACAATAAAAAACTAACAAGTAAAAATAAATTAGTACACTATTTATACACATGAACCATTAATTTTTTTTTGAAAATACCGTTAATTAATTAGCCATTACAATGGAATATGAATAGTTAGTAAATGATATACTAAATTGTTCAATTGGAATTCAAAAGTTTAACTCGACTTGGTCTTAATTAAATGTAGGACTAATCATGGGCAAGTGCAACTAATAAATTTTAATTTATACTAAAGCAATTATTTTTATTTTGATAAATTACTAAAATTTTAAACTAAAATTTAGATATAAATTGTTGATTTGTTCATTGATTTGATAGACCATCCCTGTATGATTCTTTCCCATCATGAAAATCATGCAAAACGCATATTTATTTATTTTTTTGGTTTTTTTTTTTTCATTTTGACGAAAATCCATCGACTTGTATGAAAAACATCAGTCTCAAAAAGAGACCAGCATATACATTTCAAGAACCCGTTGATGATCCAGTGGCTGAGATGATCACTCAGCATCACTCCAATTAAGGAGGCATGGGATCAAACCTGCGTAGCTGTGGGCTCTTCGTGGCAAGGTCAGTTGACCTCAGTGCACACTGCTCTTTCCTCACTCCTCACCCCCTTGATCCTCCTGTAATGTAATTCATAATACCAATAAAAAAAGCACCCAATCATGTAAATCTACTAAAATTTGAAGGATTAAATGAAAAAAAAAACTTTCCTTGTGTGGAAATTCAGCACCCAAATCCAATTCGGAAAAAAAATCCATAGCTTTATCCCCAAAAGAATGATAGGTCCTTGATTGCTTTGGTAGGAACTTTAACCAAGTTTCAGTCCAAATGGACAAAGTTGGTAGGTTGTACCGTAATACTTGCATCTTTTGGATTTGAGATTTATTTGCAATATGTACCAAAACCAGTATACATGGATATGATGTTGTTTATTGGTTGATACTCTATTAGGGTTTGATACTCTTGAATATGGGAGAATAACACAAACTGAGCCAGTTGTGTAAAGACATCACTACAGGGGATTAGGGGAAGTGCGAAATGACCTCAAGAAATCATACAAAGGGCAGGAAATTGAAACATATTGTATATAAGCGACGGGAATCAGGAGGAAAATGTTAGGGAACACACTAATTGCACATCCCTCGTTACCCTAGATTTGGTCGAAGCAATTTCGTTCCATAACCGAGTTGGAAGTGATACAAACCCTGATCAAGGAATTTTGGTCATTGGAGGGAGGGCGTCTGAGGTGGTATGGAAACATATGGAAGGCTCAAGGCTGGAAGCAACTGCTCTTTTTGAAAGAGGGAATCCCCTCCGTTCTACACGGTAGATAAGGCTGCGCCGCGTCTCGGGTCTCCCATGTCTGCAAAAATTTTAAAATTTTCATTTTTCAATGCAACATAAATAATATGATTTAAATATCCAGCTGCACATCAGAAACATTGCACATTGCTTTTAAAATTTTCATGTTTCAGATACAGTTAAATGCACGTGGCAGCAAATCAGCAGTAGGGCTGTTCATAACAAGACCTAAACCGACCAACCCAGTCCGATCCAACCCGAGTTGTTTGGTTTTTCTTCAGCACCAGTTGGTTTTGGATTACAAAAAAAATAAACCAATGATTTGATTCAGTTTCGATTTTCATGTGTAAAAACCGAAACCAAACGACTTATTATATATATATACATGATATATTTCAGTTTTACTATATATATATATATTTCAGTTTTAATATATATTTCAGATATATATTTGTGAAAATATGTATATTATATATAAAATTTCTGATATATAAAATCAGTTTTAATCCATCAAATCATTTTTAATTTCCAGACATCCAGTCTTTGCTTTCTTAGACTTGAATCCTTTACCATTCACACCGAAAGAATCATTTACAAAATCGATCCAAACCGATTCAAACCGACCAAGTCGGGTTGGTTGGAAAAATGCCAATAAACTGACCCAACCCGACCTGTGAACAGCCCTAACCAGCAGAGAGAGAGGCCGAAAGGTTGTCAGTAATGTTTCATTGTTTGTCCTTGCAAAAGTTGACGGTTCAAAGAGCTAAAAACAAATTTCCAAACGTTAAGAAAGAAAGAATCACAAACAAACAAGCATCCCATGAAATTTGTTCCGGCCTGAGAATTCAGAAAGTGCGAGAAACCAAAGGTATTATAAACATGAAAATCAAATTTCATTAAAGAAAATGGGATTCCAGTTGGTACAATGCTTTTCAGCTAGTTAAAATATTCCTACAGATACAGAAATTACTTCCCTCTAACCAGAGCCAACAAATCTGGTGGCTCGCTATATTTCATTTCAGTTTCCCTCAATCCTTCTATTCTCCAATTTCTTTTTTTTTTTTTATATCTCAATTTTCTTGTCAACTTTTTTCTTTTTTCAGTTTCCCTAGCTCCATGCTACATAATATACACGTCAGTTAACAATTATACTTACAAGTTACAACTACAACCTTTGCCTGCCTCTACTGCTATAGCCTTTCCTGCCGCTATTGTTTATCCTCGTTGGCCCACCTATCCAGTCTTCATCGTCTACATAATCATCCTCATAATCAACACCTGTCTCGCGTCCAGATCTCCCCCCTCTAGAATTTCTGGGAGGGGGCCGCTTCCGCTTGATACTAGCTGTATAGACAGCGTAGTCAACCGTATCTTCCTTCAATGCAGCCTTGAATTCCTGCACCACGGATGCGACAACATAAGGAACATTCTCCCACAAGGGCCAATGGGTCTGATTGATCTGAACCTAACCGACCCAATCATATAGGGTCTGGATTGCCATTGTGTCCTGATTACAATTGGTTCATGCTCAGTTTCGTTGTTCCAAACCAATTAAGACCTAAACCTATTATATATGATTATATATGTATATTGACATTACAAAGATACCCCAGTCTAATTTAATATGATTATATTCTGATGTCCAAATGTGTCGATTTAACAAATAAGTAGGTTCATTGTCAAATTATAGGTTAAAAGTAAGCAATTATAATTGGGTCTTACCATGTCAGCCCAGATTACAAACCCTCTAGGAACTGGTTTTGCACGTTTACTTATTTGGTTGGGTCTGGGTCTACCCTAACCTGGACCCAACCTGACCCATTGACAGCACCACTGAGGATGGTGGACCTCATTCCAGATATAACGTTTTATCATAATCACTGATCTTTCTTTTCGGTAGTCATAATCACAGATCAGGTTTGGTCATATGGTTTGTAATTTAGCCAAGTATTGTCTAGATAATTGTAACCAGAATGTGTAAAGCTTTGAACATCTCTGTAACCAATAGAAGAATGAAAATGTCTCCAACAAGCCTACCTTTTTTATACGAACCTACTAAAAAAAGCTCCTTTTGGTGCTCACTTTTCGACCAGACAAAGAATGTAACTATGGTGCATACAGAATAGGAAAAAATTTAAATAAATAGACATCTACCTGGTATCTTTCAACCATTTCTTTACAAGAAGTTGGCAAACTACTGCATGTTTCACTGACGTTGAAGGGAATGCTCTGCTTGGAAAGAACCTCCGCTTGCTTTACAGGATCGTTTGGAGAAAATGCCTGACAAAAGCTTGACAAGTTAATTTGGAGTAAATATACGACAGAAAAAAAGTTGGTTTAGATGTGGAACTTGTTGCAAAATGCTAACACTGTGAAAGGAATTTCCATATATTTTTAAATTTCCCTTACTTGACATCGTGCATCATTTAGGCTATACACAATCTTCAAATGTCGCTTTAGCTTTAAAAGGAGCTGCAAAGCAGTTGCAGCTTGACAAGCAACTTGACAATCCACCTGTGTGAGAACCAACAATGTCAATCGATTTAGAAATTCTCCTTAGAATACTTTCTGAAGCAAAAGCAATTCTTTTGGACCAAATCCTTTCAGTGTGTTGGTGTCTGGGACAACTAACTCCCCTCTGCCCCATAGATTTTGTTTTCCGCAGTCCCCTCAAGAATCTACTTTTTTGTGTGGGAGGCCTACTGTGGCAGCATCGGTACTTGTAATATGATCTTAAGAAAGAGAAAGGGACACCTTTATGTTGCTCCTCACATTTATGTTATGTGAATGAAAGATGGGGAGTCATGTGGCCACTTTCTTATAAATTGTGTAGTCAGAAGCCTATGACAATTCTTTTTGGACATCTTCTACAGAGGTAGCTTCCACCGGGTTCCTCCCAACTTAGTGTCTGAATTCCTTTCGCAATGGCCTGGGTGTACCTTGAGTAAAAGAGGTGCTCTTTATGGGAAGGCAATTTTCCATGCGGCGTGGTGGTGCATTTGGGAGGAGCGTAATAGAAGAATCTTTGAAGAAAAGTGCTCCTCCATGGAAGAGTTAAAGGAAAGGGTGATTTTCCAGATCAACTCGTGGCTGAAGGTATCTAGTTGTTTTAGAGGCATATCTATGGGAGACTTGGAAATCTGGGGCTGGTTCTGAGTTCTTCATGTCATGAAATAGTTCACTCTGCTCCTGTGGTTCCCAGACCTTCTACTGAATTCATTCTCCAGTTTGATGGCAGTTAGTCACAGAGGTCAGGCAGGGATACGTGGCAGAATTCTTACCTCCTTAGGTATTCAAGTTTGGGCCTACAGTGGACCCATTGGGAAGGCTGAAGTTGTTGAAGCTGGGGTGCAGGCCTTGCTAGTGGGGCTGAGGTATGTATTGTCCCTGAATATTTCTTCAGTGGTGGTGGAAGGAGACTCAAAGGTGATTATTAATGGGAAGCTAAACCAGCAGGAGGGGCAATGGAGATTTCTCCCACCAGTTCAATGAAATCAGGGTTATTCAATCTCAGTTAGCCTGTGATTTCAGGTGGATTCCGAGAGAGTTAAACTCAGTGGCAGATGCTCTAGCTAAATCTGGGGTGGGCAGGGACTTTTTGTATAGTGATATCGAGCTTCGTGATTCCTCTTTAATTGGCAGGGAAGGTTTTTTTGGTTTTTGTTTCCTTCTTGAGCGGTTCTGGTATGATGTCTTTCTTATACATCCTGTATACCCTTCCCTCTTTTTGTTAATGAAAGTTACCTTTTCTAAAAAATATATAGAAAAGAACTATAAGCAATAAAATGTAACTCAAGAAAAAACATGAAATGCCAAAAAATGGAGCAGATTCAAACAAAAAGGGAAAATGCACTAAGCTGTAGAGCTCAAAATTGAACACATGATGACATTACGCTATGTTTGGTTTGACAGAAAATTGGGGGGNGGGGGGCTTAAGGAATTTTGTGAAAAACTTATTAAGAACTTTTCCCTCAACTTTCTGTTTCTCTCTTGTTTTCTGTCAAACGAAACACAGCCTTGAGGAAAAACCATGGGGATCTGGGTTGAAAGCTTTAGATAAGACGTTTCAATTTGACTATACCTGAAGTTTTTGCAGATTTTCTATGGACATGCTACATGAAGAATCATTTGAGGTCACATAAACCACCTTTGCATCATTAGACATCATAGGATCATACATGGGGTGAACAACTGGCTCCTGTTGAATTACCCCATTTTCATAAGGAATCTTATTAGAATCTAATTGCAGCAACTGTGAACACAAGGCTTTCATATGTGCTTCAAGTGCTCCAGCTCTGACTTGAATTATTCGATTTATGGTGTAGATCAAGTAAAGAGGCTCGTCAGGCATTGTGAATGGGAGAGATGCAAGTATCTCTGTGCAGTACCTGAAAACAAAAAATAAAAATAAAAATAATTAAATAGATGGATAAATGAAATGAATAAGAAAGAAAGAGAAATTGAGTTTAAAATTTAAGCTATTTTCAACGGAAGAAATATAGGCATCAATTGCAGTACTCACATAAGAAAGGGAATCAATTGAAGGTTCCAACTTGGAGAATCAAATTTTCGTACTACAGAAAACATAAATTTGTTCCTTGAAACACGGTTTCCACGAATAAGCCTGTAGATTCTTGAAACTCCAAGCCTTGCGTAGGTAAAAGAGCTACTTTCAGATCTCCCTTTCATATTTGTAGAAACCTTGTTTTGGTTGGAACATTCAGAAGAACTGCTACTCATGGACTGAATAAAATTGAATGACATCTGAAGACCATCACCCAAACGGCTTTCAAAAAATGCAGGATACCTGCACCCAAAAAATTGTTAAGTTAAATAGATAGATCCATGTAATTACGTATTACAGAAGTTCTAGTAGGCATTAGCAGATTCATACTTCTCATTCATGTTCATTAGCAAATGATGTGCCAACTTTGAGTTCACTTCCTGCAGATCTGTTTCAAGTGCTATAAGGTACGGAACACAAGTAATTGGGTGAACCAAACCTTGACGTAGAACAACCTCCACAATCTGCATCAAAAAATGGCAAGAAATAAAAGTGAACACCAACTGCGGACAGGGGAATCCAATGATAACACATGGAACTCATGGATGCAGGTATCATAACCTCCAGTCCACAGATCCCCACCTTAAGGGCAGATTGGCGAACTCGTTCATTCACATCCAAACATCTTTCCAAGATACCATCCCAATACAATTGAACTATCCCCCCACAAATGTTAGTATCGCCTGCACCTGCAGCAACAGGGACGCTATGTCCACTTCCTTCAGGATGATTTACTGCATTACTGGCAACCTTATCTGTTCCCATTTGGCTTTCGGCATCAAGAAGATATTCGTACATGTTTTGCAATGATTGCATCTGGTCAACAGAAAGTTTCAGCACATATATTGAAGTGGATACCAGCATGTAAAAAGAATGAAAATTGTACCTTGAGTCGAACATCACAACCAGATGCAAATGTTGCTCCAATTATTTTCCCTACATCCTCTTCCAACATATACTCAGGCCTAGCAATCAAAACATATCCCAGTGCCTAGAAAAATAGGATAAATACATAAGGTGTCTTCCAATTTGATATCAATCTTTGAGAGAGATCAACATATATGGAAGTAGACACACACCTGTAAGGCTCGTACTTTTATGACAAAATCATCCAAAGAGAGGTATTTTTTAAGCAGTTTGAGGCTCTGAACAACATCTACATTTCTGCTATCCGAGGTGATCAGCAACTCGTTACCATACCGGACTAACAAACCAAGACAAAAAAGAGAGCGCCCCACTTGCTGAAATTTACAGAGGAATCAGACTTCTCTGACATTTTTATTTGACAAGCACAAAACAAAGAAAAGCAGCTAACAAATAGATTTTCCTTTTGTGCATCCCTAGAAAATTGACAACTTTTTGAAACACATATTAGCTTTTCAGGACATAAATATAGGGGTGATCATGGGTCGGACCAGGCTGGGTTTAGCACCAGTAATAAGGGCTTTAGTGTAGGCCCAGGTCTGGTCAAGCCCACACCCCGGGCCTAAATTACAAGCCCGGGCCCAGCCCTACACAGGCCCAGACTGGGCTTACAAGCTTTCTGGGCCTAAAGAAAAAAATAATTATTTAAAAAATTTTAAATTAAATAATATATAATACAAGAAGAAAAAAAACAAAAAATAAATAAAGGAATGGACCTCATTTAATTCCTAAACTTGGTTTAGCTTGGCTTACCTATCCTTTCATAGAAAAAGGCAAGGCCTTCATTCTAGCAATGGCAATGGGGTGGGTTCAGGAAGGGATTTTTAAATTCTTGACCCTAACCACCTCCCTAGACCTCCTAACCCATACCCTCCCCAAAACCCATAGCAGAACCACTCCCCACACATGAAAATGCAAAACCCTCCCTGCATTTGAGGGTGGGATGGGTTGGGTCTAGAACCATATCCAATTTCCGATTATATCCTGTTATACATAAGCAATAACCAAGTAAAATAACATGAACAAGCATCAAAATTTCTTATTATTTGATTAAAACATGTAAAAAACACAAGTTACCAATTATCCATCACATAAAATTCAAAATATTTTTAAATTCAACACCTAATACATAAATATACATGCCTTGCAACAATATGTGGGTTGGGGAGGGTTGGGTTTAGCCTAATAATACCATACCCTACCTGTACCTGTATGGGTTGTAAAATCCCCAAACCCGTACCCGCTACAAAATCTGTTTTATAAGCAAAAAACCCACCCCATTGAGACGGGTAGGGGAAGGCACCCATCGGGTAGGGTAGAAATTTCCATCTCTACATCATTCTCATTACTGAGCAATGAGGGACATGGAACAGCATTAAATAGTGAGTGTTACCATAGAGTTTGTCCCAAGTCCCACATTGCTCAAGAATGGGAATGAATGCCTTGGTATCATCTATAAAAGGTCTGGCCTAGGAGGACAACTGTCAAACTTGAGTTGACTCATGTGTTGGCACATGCCAATTCATGAATATTTGTGTAAAAAAAATTTATATTTTATATAAAAAAGTAAATATTTAATATAAAATAAAAACACTTGAATATATATATATAACATATAAAATATATAATATTAAGAATATTTATTATATATTTAAGAATATATATAATACTATATTGCAGGCTGGGGTGAGCTTGAAGTGTTGGGCCCAAGTCCCGCCCAGGATTTTCTGGGCTTAATGCAGGCCCAGGCCAGGCCAGGCCAAGAATGATCACCCTTACATATATATTTTGCTACTGTGACAAATTAAAAAGGATTAGTACCCATGAGACAACAAAACAAATTGTAATGACACACAAGCTCAAACACTTGAACAATTAATTCATCAGTCCCAACATTTTGAACTGAAAAATTGAAGGTACATATAACTTAGTTTAATAAGAACAATCAGACTGTTCTGAATTACAGAGCAATTGAAAAGCCAAGGCATGAGGGTCAAGGACAAGGTATTGCAGAGCATGTTTACTTTTGCTATCAAGTGGTCAATATTGGGGAAAGAAATGATTGCATTATTGGAAGATATCCATGCTGTGTGTGTGTGTGTGTGTCACAAAAAGGATATGTAATGTTATCACTCTAATAAAACACAGGATTAGCCCCTAGTGTGCTTTCACAAGATAAGTAATGTACTCTACTATGGAAACAAGCTAAACTACTGTTTTTTCTCTCTTTTATTAAAAGAATCATTAGGTGACACCTAGGCAGGCACTTACCCCCTAAGCAACAAGGCACTTACCCTGTTAGACAACTATGTAGTCAAGGTTCTCAATTTGATCCTCCAATGATTTGCATATTATGCATATATACTGTCACTAACATTTAAAGGAGTGTCTTTATATAAAAGAATCAATGTTCTGAAATTTGTAATCGTATCATAAATCATAGAGAAAGTTGAATTGAATCAAATCGTGAATTGAATAGTAAACTGTAAGATTATTTCTATTTCTTACAAATTTGTCAAAAAAAAATGTAGATATTCTAAGAGGTTAAATGTGTGTGTATATATATATATGTGTGTGTATATACCATATATGTACCTAAAGCAATAGAACTTACCACTTCTACAATGCAACTCTAAGATGATATTGATATAATCAAGTTTGACTTGTAACTTTGTAAGTGAAATGATCCACATACAATGACTATATTTGGTGGAAAATAATCACAATGTATGATCTTAACTAACATAATAAATTTGCTTCTAATTAGATCTTTAAAACAAGCTACCCTTAACAAAACTAAATATAAACAAAACAAAATTACAAAGTGGATAAGTCATTCTTAATTGAATTGATTTGAATAACAATGAAAATCACAGGAACTGTATAAATCGTAAGATTTATAAATCAAATCATAGGATTCAAAAACAAATTGTAAGATTTTTGTAGAAAGGATTTAAACATAAGATTCCAATTGAAACCCTTGGGATTCATGGCTCAAATTGTGAATCGTGTTGTAAATTGTAAAATTTTAACAACATTGAAAAGAATAATAAGCACATATAGTACTGATTGAAATAACAGGAGATGAAGATTGGACAAGCGGGTTTTTGTAAAATTCCAGATGTATTTTAGCATTTTCTGTCATTGACACATGCTCCTATGTTCTCATAAACTCATGAAAAATTCCAGATAATTTTATCAGTTTTTTTAAAAAGAGTTGAAATAGGAGGAAGATCATTTTGTTGCCACTTTTTACTAAATAAATGCCAAACCCAATTATTTTCCTTTAAAGGTCTACCCTGGAATAAAACCCTCAAGGACTCTAAATGGGATAATCAATCTGCTGCAATTGGAACAGTTTTTAATTTTTTTATCAGAAACGATCAAGGCATTTCATTAACTTGTAAGAGAACGATTTACAAATTTACAATTTCAGCTATTTTGTCTTAGGCTGGCGTTCAAATTGGAATGATTTTTATCCAATAATGACATGCAGCTCTGCAGTATGACCAAACTCATAAGCACATAATTAGATAGAATCTTTGAAATTGTTTAGCAACAATGATTTAGTACCAAACAACTTCAATACAATCAAGACTTTATCCTGAACATGCCACACATTAAAGAGGAAGAAAGAAATAGAAACAAGCAGGTAAGCACATATTAGCCTGCTACTTTACAAGGCATGATATTCAATCATGTAAATGTATAACCTGCTTGTTGTCAGTTCCAAGGGCCTCCAAACGTTTGAAGAAAACCTGAATAAGATATTCAACCAATGTTGCATCTTTTCCAGCTACTTTACTCAGTGAGCAAAGACACCTGAAGTTAAAAAGGTAAATCAGCTTGCAATAGTCTTCATAGCCCAAGTAAATGGTGTCTTTCACTTTAATAAAAAAATGATCAGTTGTGACTTTGACCAAGGTCATAATGAATAATATGCATTACATAAGCACATTTGTGATTAGACATTACCAAAATATTGATCTAAATGGTCTAACCAATTAAACAATTCAAAATGATGATAGAGCATGTAAAATCCACTCATCTGATCAAAACAAGTAATCAGAAGCTTTGTCCCAACTATATGTAGTCAGCTACTTGAATCCAGTTTTGCCAGTTTGTTCAGTGCAATGCCATATCCATCATTAAGTTATGGGCACCTAACTTTTTCTTATTACTTTCCACCCAAGTCCTTTATGGTCTGCCTATAGTTCTACTAGCCCCTTCAACTTATAATAGATCACTTATTCTAACAGGTGCGCTAGATTGGTACTTATCAACAAAATAAAAATGGTGTTCTAGATGGTCTCCATGTGACCAAACCATCTCAATCTACTTTTTCTCATTGTATCACCTATTGGAGCTACTCCTACGTTCCTTTATATGATTTCATTTCAAACCCTGTCCTTTCTAGTTTTACCACTCATCAATCTAAGCATTCATATTTCTGCCACACTCATTTCTTGGACATGTTTCAAACTATCCAATACTTCGCACCATACAACATAGCTGATCTTGCAACTATTTTAGAGAATTTTCTTTTAGCCAAATGGTATTCATCTATCACAAATGACTCCAAATTCATCCCCCCATTTTTGCCCGTCCAGCTCTAATTCTATGGACAACATTCTCCTCAATCTCTCCTTTGTCATTAACTGTTGAACCAATGTATTGGAAGAGGTCAAATTAAGTTATCTATTAGTCTCCAATCCTATGTGTACCCTAGCTTGCACTCCTATTATTACTAAATTTACTTAGCATATATTTTGCTTTAGTCCTTTATTTTAAAACATCTTATTTTTAACGCAGTTGTCCACAAACCTCATTTTTGTCATCAGCAAACATCAGGCACCATGGAGCCTCCACTTGAATATTTTTAGTCAGTTCATATATATATATACCTGTAGATTTATTAACACCAGTGCTTTTTTTTTTAATAATTGGACTTCTATAACCAATAATAAATCCATGAGATTAAATAAGCAGAATAAAGAGAAGAGTAGGGGTGCAACTTGGGTTGAGGATTTGCCAAAATTTGAAAGGGCCCGGCCTGAAAGCCAAGGCCTGATAAAGTGTAAATTCTTCAATTAAGGTGCCCAACTTGCATCCCTTGAAAAGAGCAAGAGCAGGCTAAGGACAGCTAACCCTATCCAAACAAACAGCACACCTCATCAAGAAGCAACCAAAGGTGTAAAATTATAGCTCAGGATGGTACTTGGCACCCGTAAGATTTGGGAAACCTACAAGGATTGGCAAGAACTCTAATGTTAAGGAAAAATGTTGCCAAGGGAGACTCAAAGGTACAAATTACCTAGCTGAAATACAACAAACAAGGATCTTGGAGATACAGGTATTACATGAAATAATTAATAACTGTAGCAGCAAAATTGAAACCAAGCTTCCAGTGAACTGTTAAGTCAAACATTTTGGCTGATGCCATGGATGGGAAAGGGGTAAATAGGGAACAATTATATTTGGGCACTTTGTAATGGGGTCTGGCAATGCAAAGGCAAGGGAAAGTGAAACTCGCTAGACTCACTAAAATGGTGCTTTGATAGATCATGTATTATACATAACTAATTCATTCTTTTCTACCAATTAATAAAATGTCTGCCCTCCATGTAAGGCCCCAATACAAATCCCCATTGATTTTTTTTATTATTATTTGATAAGGATAAATTTAAGCAAATGCCTGATTCATTACCCCTCTCCCAAGCACTAACTGCATAGGAGGGAGACCATCAGATGCATGTGGGAGAGTGGAGAAAGATCTCTCTCTCTCTCTCTCTCTCTCTCTCTCTCTCATAGCACCTATTTGGAGGGATTAATTAAAACATAAGATCAAGTCATGGATATGGATCAAGAAAAGAAAAAAAAAGAATAAAAATAGGGAGGGCAATAAATTACTTGATGCAAGCATGAACTACTGTCAAGAAAGAATGCCGAACAATCATGTGCTTAAGATCTTGTTCAAGTTCTTCAATAACACTGTGAGGAAGCTTTCGGAGCAAAGGAAGAACAGCATCAATTACAAAGATTATACTTTCCAACAATTGTGCTACTGCTCGATTATCAACCTGCAAACAAGTAAAAGCTATCTACATTAACTCTCTATTCTGTTTTTAGAATGGGGGTGAGCGAGGGAGATTCAGAATATCCATAGCAATGCAACATGGAAACATTCTGAGGTTATTACAGAAACTTTTTGTACATTTCCAATTATAAGTTCACAAGTGGAAGAGATAAATCTTACTTCGAAGCAGTATAACATTCAGGCATCTAATAATTACCCGATATGTTCATGAACAATAAAATTTTACTAGAAAATATTGGTCACAAAGAAGAATTACTTCTAAACCAGGAAAAAGCTAAGTAGGAACATCTGAGCTCACATTGGTATTAGTTGCTATCATGAAAGAACAAAACAAAACCATGTCAAACCCTGGGAAAAAAAAAGTTCTCTCATGCATTCTACAACACCGGGTTTAATCTTTAATCACACAAAGGAATCTTCCAAAATCCTTGAATACCCATTTTATCTTTTTTTTTTTATTTTGAAAGATGGAAACAGTATTGTATTAAGTATTAATAATCAAGAGTAGAAGAGAGACCTAACCAACAGCTATACAAAATGGGGCCAATGAAAGAGCTCAAGTATAAGATAATCATTAGTTCTTAGGTACTAAATAACAGAAATCACAAAATCATTATCCACAATAATTCAAGACCAGTAATTGTGAAAATGAGGTAGATTGAATCTTGAGAGCTCCTTGAAATGCTTTAGACCAAAAAACCTAAAAGACTTTCCACATGCCAAATGTATCATTGTTATTGGGCATCATAGCTTAAAAACATTATTTTTTGATAAATTAGCTTAAAAACATTGTTACTAAGACACTAACAAACTAGAAAATGAATTTGAAATTACTAAATACTAAAATCTAACACAACAAAAAAATTATGAAATTGCCATCAGGTAAGGAATTGAGAAAACTGATTTATTTCTTCTTTCCTTCCTTTTTACCTACACCAAACATGATCCTTTGTTGGAGGCACATGGTCATGGTGCTCTTCTTTTCCCTTTATTTGGGAGGGGTTGGTGATAATACATACAGATGTTCCACATAGATCACATAACATAAACCACTTATCATGGACAAAAATGTATCCCTTCTTGAGAGAGAAGGGAAACATCAACCATTCACAAGGAAAACATACACAAAGGGGAGAAAGCTTTCAAACCATAAGTATTCAAATCAAACAGATGTGAATCAGTCCTCCAAATCTGATATTAGATTCTGATTACAGCAACAAAAAGGAAGGAAGACAGAGAGATACAGCAGAAGAGAAGAAGTAGGGCTGTTCACAAAATTGTAAAAACCGATCAAACCGACTGAACCAATCCGATTCAACCCAATTTATTCGGTTCTCAAAAACAATCAGTCGGTTTCGGTTTGAAAACTTCAGAACCGGATCATTCGGTTTGGTTTTGATCTATGATTTTATACACCAAATCGAAACCGATCCGAACCGATGTAAGTATAAAAGCTTCAAATTATGTACAATTTTGTCTTTATTTGTGTCAGGTGTCAGAAAAATCAATTAGTTTTCTTTTGTTTTTGGTCACTCATCTCCCTCTCCCAATCCAATAAAAGTTGACGTCAAGTCAGTCCCTCAATCAAGTTACTTCTATTGTTTAACTTTTTATTTGATTATTTCTTTCTTTTGCATAAAATAGTGAAACTTTTCACATAACGAATCCCATCTTTTTATTGAAAAGTGTGTGATCTGTAAAAGATGACAGCTTTTGGTCCAAAATATCATCATACAAAAGGAACCCGATTAAATGCATGCAAGGGCAATCAAAAGTCACTTCGGTTCGGTTTATTTCAAACCGACATTAATTAAAACCAAATTCCAAAGTCGGTTTTTCTCTCATATCGGTCGGTTTCAGTTGTTATTAAAATTAACCCGACAAATTTGATTTGGTTGGTAAAGTTAACTAAAACCGATCCGAACCGACCTGTGAACAGCCCTAAGAAGAAGAAGAAGAGAGTTCGATGGATCCCTCTCTCCCCTCACTAATCTTTTATTAATCTGATCTAATAAAGGTTAATTACACGTGTGCCCTAAAGTGGGTGGCCAGCTCAGCAATAACTTGATATTAAAAAAAGGTTAAGAGACCATAAAGAAAAGGCCCAGTAACACAAAAAAAAGAACACTACTTGACAGAAAACAAGCACTAGGGCCTATTCAGCCCAGTCTCTCTACACAAACCTTTAGCTGAGAGCTGCAATGGTTATAACCATAATAAATATGAACCAAAATACCAAAGATAAACAAATTTCACTAAATGTCGAGGAGAACGAATTCACACAAGATACTGAAACAAACCTTGGTCTTAAGATATGGCTGGAGAGTAACTACAAACTGGGATGGATCTGTAGAAGGTGCACAGAGCTTTGGATCCACTACACAAAATGCATGCATAACTAACATATAAGAAAGTGAGCCCACCTCCCCTTCTGCATTATTTGTTTCCTCTACCTACAAACAAAAACAAAGAAAAAATCTTTACCCAAAAAAATTAAAATGCAAGTTATACAGCATTACTGGTTAAATAACTTGAAAAAGATACCTGCAATATCCTCTCCAATAAGCACTTGCACATTAATTCACATCGTTTACGTACTGATGCAAGTGAGACAGCATTGATTCCAATAGCTTTAGCTGACTGTGGGAGAAAATCAAGTGCCAAGTTGCGTCTTATAACCGTTACAAGAGGTTGATGGTTTGGCATCCTCCTTAACATCTCAACAATCTGCTCAGTTTTTTTGGCTACTTCCAATGGAATAGAGCTACCATCTCCAACAAACTGAGTCTGGATGCCAGAAGGTTCTTCAAACCAGAACTCATAAAATGTTTTGCAGACAAGATCCTGTGAAAAATAACATGGTTAATAAAAAGAATATTAACCAGGCAAAAACAAGTTTGCAGCCAATTTACATCTAAGAACATGTACACAAATGGAATATTTAGTAAAAATATTAGAAAGGACAGGATCAGAAATGAAATCATTCTAAGGAGCCTAGGAGTAGCTCCAACACAAGATAAAGTGAGAGAAAGTAAACTAAGATGGTATGGTCACAGGCTGAGAAGACCATCCACAGCATCCATAAAAAGAAGTGATTTTTTACAAGTTGAAGGAGCTAGGGTTGCAGACTGAAAAGGACATAGGTTCAAGTAGTAAGAAATGATTTAAGCGCTCAAAATTTAACAATGGATACAGCACTGAACAGAACAAAATGGTCAAATAAATGAGATGCCTAAGGATGGCTACCGGAGAAAGATCTCATCATATGAGATGATAACAAGAAGAAACTTATACAAGATCCACTAGCTAAGAGAACAAAGATTACATGTCACAGATTGCACATTAAGGAACTGCGTTATTCTCACAAGCTTACATTTACCAAAATTTAGGAGAATTACCATAAAAATAGCAGGTAGTAATACAGGAAAACCTGATACAATCACGGAAAGGAATTTGATTTGAAGAATGAACTTTTCTTTCAATGAATTGTGTCACCAGAGCTTTTGGTCCTGTATCTTTTCTCCCTATTCTCAGGTAACCCACTATCACTCATCTAATTCTTTTGTATTAGTTCACCTCTTCTCTTTAACACGTCAACTACTTTTCCTTCTTTTTAATCAGTAAAAAGTACCTGTATTGAAAAAAATAGGAGACATGCAATATAGGGGTAAACAAAGCTTGAAACTTACACAATTCTGGTGGATATGATCCCCAGTTCAGTTCCTGCCTTTTTACTCCCTTTCTAGGAGGAGCAACCAGTAGAATATTTGCAAATCTTAGCACCCACTTAAATAAAGCTTTCTCTGCTGACTCGAACACAAAGTTTATTGCATTTGAAGCCTCTGTACACCCATCAAATTCCCCATCCATCCAAGAAATTTTTTTGTGAATCTCCCTCACCTCAAGATTCAAAAAAAAAAACTCAGAAGCAGGCCCTCTCTCTCTACACAGACTTTCTCAGCTCTCAGCAAAGAACAAGGTAGAAGGAGCTTGCTCCAGGTATCCCTATTTTAGGAGTTGACAGTTGTATTAATTTTATGTTGATTAAGTTACCATTTCCAATAAAAAAAATTGTAATTTTGTTGTAAATCATAGTAAGTTGAAAGGAATTGATTCATGAATCATCCATAAATCTTACAATTATTTCTCTTTTTTAGACTTGTTGAAATAAAAGTAAATATACTAAAAATCTATCCACCTATCTATATAGATAGGTATATAGATAGATAATGAATTTACCCTATTTTTAATCCATGTCTTGGAAACAGCCTCTCTGTATGTGCAAGGGTAAGAATGTGTGTATCTATCCTTCCCCAGACCAACATTGGCAGAAGCCCCGTGCACTAGGCAGCCCCTTTTTTGTTTACCATATATGTACCTAAGATAATAGAGTCGACAAGTTGTACAGTAGATGCCTAAGACGATATAATCAAGTTCGACTTAAGAGTCAAATAACCCACATAACCTATATATGACAGAAAATAACTCAATATGATTTTTAAAAGGGGAAGTTGGTTTGACACTGTTATTTGAAGACAAGATGTGAGACACAAAAAAGGGACCTATTATCTTAGACACATATCTTACCCTTCCTATCCATTTCAGTTTCCGAGGAGTAACTTAGAGCCAAGTTTGTGGTTATGGATGAAGCTGGTTTGATACAGTTATTTGAGGATGAAAAGTGCGAGACACAAAAAGGGACATTCATTAAGTCAAAACAGAACTTGGGAAAAGAAGATGCTCTTTCAGATGAGGAGAAAACTGAAACGGATGGGAGGGGAGGAACAATTGCAGACAAAGATCAATTGCAGGGTAATGGTGGGAGATGTAATATCAACCCACAGTTACTTGGCAAGACTACAACGTACCCCTAATCCCCAGCTAGAAGTCCAAGAGTTGATTCTAAGGAAACCACTCCCACAACCAAGGTCAATAATTTTCTTCTATCCATTCTCTTCCTACCCAAGGTAATTTGTGCTGTCCTTTGTTTGTTGTTACTAATGCATGTTCTAGTCCTACTGCCTTGTCCATAAGTGAGACCATCCTTGATCCAAAGTCTGGCAATGTGAGTGATTCATCTAAAGAAACAGAGGTGTTGAGTCCGATCGAGGTTAAAGAGGATGATAAGGAAGAAGGAGAAAGATATTAGAGATAATAATGTAGATATTCAAAATCCTCGTAAAGGAGGAATTGGAGAAGGAGCACAACAGGGACAAGGAGGGTGTCACTCCAAATCCAGGGTTGGTGGAGGAAAAAAAGGGCAATGGGGGAAGATTGGAACCAAGAAAGGGTCAAGGAAAAGTAAAAAGAAGGGAAGGAGATAAAAAGGGGTGGGTCAGGAAAAACCTAGTTAACCAAGTAAGAGGACAAGAGGGTCAAACAAGAAAAGAAAGAAAAAATAATAAGTGAAGCGGAGAGGCTTAGGTGTGAAGTGGACTATGACAAAGGTAGTATTGGAAGGAAGGAAAGAAAAAAGTAAGGGGAATAAATTTACAAAGTGTCAGCTCAAAGTTGGCTCACATGAAGATAATAAAAGTTAGAATGTAAGAGATTTGGGAAGCTCAAGAAAAAGGAGAGCAGTCATAGGGATGTTGAGGAAATAGAAGCCAGATATAGTGTTGATTCAAGAATCAAAAGTGCCTGTTGTGAACAAAAGGTGGGCAAGGAGTATTTGCGCTACTAGAGGAATAAGTTAGGCATTTTCATAGTCCTAGGGGTCTTCAGGGAGAACAATCACTTTAAAGAAACATGAAGACATGGAGTGCTTGGAGGAATTGATTGAAAATATCCCGGTCTCAGTTAAATTAAAAAGAAAGGCGAATGGCCTAGTCTGGGTCTTGACTAATGTGCATGGCCCCACTTCCTATAGGAAGTGGGAGGGTTTGTAGGAGGAATTGACAACAATTAGAGGCCTCTACGAGGGTCCATGATGTTCAGGAGGTAATTTTAATGTGATCGGATTCATACATGAAACAAATAATCCTAGCCACAAGATTACTTCTAGTATGAGAAAATTTAATCAGTTTGTAAGTTCTAATGAGATAAGAGAGCTGCTTACCTGCCTCTATTACAAGAAAATTTTTCAAGAGACACCTATCTGTTGCAAACTGGATAGGTGTCTTTTTTTCTTCAGATTGGGAGGAAGCTTGGAGTGGGATGGTAGCTAGAGCTTTACTGAACCTACTTCGGATCAATGTCCAATCAAATTGTCCCAAGACGGAGTAGGAGGAGGCCCATGCCCTTTTAGATTTGAGAATATGTGGTTACTTCATCCCGAGTTAAAAACGAAAGTGAAAAAATGGTGAGAGGAGGATCAGGTGGAGTTTGGATGGAAGGAATATAGATTTTACAAGAAGTTACAGAGGTTGAAAGTTAGGATAAAGATTGGAATAAAGAGATTTTTAGGAGAATAGAGGAAAGAAAGGATCGGATTGCACAAAGGATAGAGGAGTTAGATGAGTTAGAAGGAGATCATTTGGAGGCTAAACAGGAACTGGAAGAGATCTTGAGAAAAAAGGAGATCAATTGGAGGCAGAAACCAAAGGGCGGGTGATGGCAATACAAGTTTTTACCATATGCTAGCAAGTGGAAAAGAAGAAATAATGTTTCCCAATTGATACGAGTGAGCATTTTTTATTGAAACCAAAAAACTGAACCAAAAATTTAAGTTTCAGTTTTTTCAATATCATTAATTTGGTTTTGTAAAAATTCGGTTTCAGTTTTCAGGTTTGGAAATTTGGTTAACCAAAAAAATTGAATTAACCAAAATTTATTATTTATACATAATATATATTATATATTAAAATATATAATATATTATATATTGTATAATATATGCATGAATATTAATATGTTAATGAAATTTGGTTTTAACCTAAATAACCAAAAACCAAACCGAAAATTTTGGTTTTTCATTTAAAACTTCAGTTTTAAAAATTTCAGTTTATTCGATCCAGTCTTTAACAGAATAACCAATTGCTCACCCCTACTAGTTGGAGTGGAATGGACAAGTATCGCTCATCCCTAGGGAGTTGATGGATGCTTTCAAGGAAAAAAAAGAACTTTGAAATCCAAGACATAAAAACAATATTGGAAAGATCCAAGCCCCGAACCATATGGTTTCACGATGGATTTTTATCAAGATTGTTGGTGCTAACCTCTTGAAGGTTTTTGAAGAATTTTTTTCAGAGAGGCAAATTTAGTTCAAGAGCAAATGCTATTTTTATTGCATCCCTAAGGTGGATGCAAATCATCCAAAAGATTTTAGATCCATAAGCCTTCTGGGTAGCTTGTACAAAATCACCTCTAAGGTGTTGGTGGAGAGGATTAGAAGAGTATTCCCTTCCTTGATCTCACCAAACCAAGGTGCCTTTGTCTTTACAAGACAAATAGCTAACCAAGTTCTCATTGCTAATGAATGTGGGGAGTATAAGAAGAGGTGAAAAGAAGGCTTCGTTTGTAAACTGGACATAGAAAAAGTTTATAACATGATGGACTGGGACTTCTTACTAGAGATGTTGAATTCTATGGGCTTTGGAGTGAGATGATGTAAGTTGATAAAAGGATGTTTCCTCCTGTCACTATTCCATCTTGGTAAATGGGGTATCTAGGGACTTCTTTCCAGCTAAAAGAAACCTCCGACAAGGCAATCCTCTTTCTCCTTTCCTCTTTACAAGGGCTGATACTAACAATCTAATTACAGGCTGGAGAGTTGGGAGGGAACATGTGATAGTTACACATTTTCAGTTTGTGGATGGCCTCTCTGTCTTTTGTGAAGGGGAAAGGGAAGAATTGATTAATCTCAAGAAGTTGGTAACACACTTTGAAAGGGTATCTAATCTCGC